AAAAAGCGCGGCTGTTCTCCGGGAGCCGAGCTCTCGGACTCCAGCTTCAGGCTGTTCACGTGGGAGATGGACAAGACGGTGGCTGCTACGAACCACGGCAGACCCATGATGGAGCAAACGGCGAGCATCACCCCCACCATGAGCAGGTCCAGGTGGTAACCGCAGCCTTTCTACGAGTTCCACAAAACAAAGAGACGTTTGGATAAAGAACGACATCAACTGTAAGAAAATAAAAACAAATGGTTCTTCAACTCGAGGATAATTCTTGCCAGTAGTTTGTGCTCTTTGCGGTTAATAATGACGGCAGTTATCTGCTGGTCCATGAAGATGAGGATGGTGCAGAGAAGAGCGGGAATGAAGGCGGCAATAATGGTCCACCATGGGTTACGTCCAATCGGATTGATCAGCCAACCTCGGTCATCTCTGGTGGGCTACGAGAAGACAGGACTGAGGATTAGTTCACGACTCATGACTGATGACGTACAGTACTGAACATCAGGCTCCAGGAACCGTTGTACCTGGAACTTGCTGGGAACTTTGAGCTTCTGGGAAGGTACTCCGACAACGTAGTCGAGTAACACCATGATGACAATGGTGAGGAAGACGGCGAAGTCACTGATCATGGACCGCACCTATTCATACAGAGTCATTAGTCATTACACTCTTCATAATAATTAATTAGTAAAATATGCAAAAACACACTTGTGTAAAGACGTTTTTTTTTCTCACCTTGGTGGGAAAATAACGACTGGTCTTAAATTGTTTGAGGAAGGAAGACATGAAGAAGGTGGAGAAGAACAGGATGGTGGACCAGAAAAGAACATCGGGGGTGAAGGGGCCGTGGTGACCACACGCTGTCCCGACGAAGTGGCCCTGGAGGCTAACGCACTCCTGTGGAAAAAAGTCACAGTCAGTGAGAGGCGCAAGAATTAAAGTTGTTTAATTAGATAAAAATACAACGAAAGCTAAAATATTACAGAAGAATGGCAGCAACGTTGACATAAAAGCTGTATATGAGAGTAGTGAGACCTGCTATGATGTTTGAGAAATAACATGACAAGGAAAATCAGTTTGTTAATACATAGAACAAAACAAGTGAAAACATTTTTCTTTGTCTTTTTGTCCTTTAGGTTACCAACGTTCTTGGACATTTGTTTGTCCTGACAGTGAGGAAGGACACGTCAGCAGAAGACAAATGGACTAAATGTTATTTATGACATCTGAAAGTGTCCTTACGAGACCTTATTAACAAAAGGACACACTCCGTGACCACATGCAGCAAATGTTAAAGCAACACTGGCGTGACCTTGACAGTGAGGTTAGACCAGGACACAGAGGACGACGTGATGTTTCTGTCAGTCCACAGCTCCAGGGTTTTGTTACTGGGATTATCAGGTTCTGCACATCGACAGCTGCAGAGACGCAGAAAAAAAAAACAGAATTGTTATTAATGTGAAAACATGTAAATGAAGGCCATTGATTTTGAGGATTAACAGAAACGCTGCTGTTTAACCAGCCTTTATAACAGTAGTGGTTGGAAATGTTGACAAGTAATGGTTTAACCAGTAGGTGGCAGCAACTCAATGTCTGCAAAGTGCTGTTATATCACAAAAGAAAAAAACAGTTGTGACGTTAGCAGGTTTAGCTTAGCCTAGCTAACCCTATTAGCAGACTGGATATTGTATGGAATTACCTTTGAATAAAACATTTTTATGACCTTGGAAATCACAGTGTTGTTGGGAATAAAACATTTTTTATGACCTAATCACAGTGTTGTTGGTCAAATGTATAATATTATAAACATTTACAAAAACAGAAATATTCACACAAAGAAAGACAGAAAGTATGGACTCACTAAGCCAGGGTGAGTTTGTCCAGGTCACTGTGTGTGTTGAACGGGTAGAGTTCTCCCAGGTGGAACAGTTTCTCCAAGGCCTCGTAGATGAAGATGAGGCAGATGAGGGCGGCGAAGGCTTCCTCTGTGAATCGAGTGATGTAGCACACCAGAGAGCTAGCATCTGTGGCAACCAACACCAAACACAGCAGGGCCGTCCACAGGCCGATGCAGGCCCTCAGTGACAGGTAGGACAGGTGGTAGTCCCTTTGATGAGACAAGAGCCATCCAATCTCTGGTCACTGATAAGGTCACAGAGGTCACTGCGTGTTGGACATACTTGCAGAACTTGAAGAGGATTTTCTCAAAAACCAGTACAGGACCGGTGCTGCCGAGAATGGTCAGAGGTTGACCGGAAAAAAGAGAGTAGGCCACTCCGGTCATAGACGCTCCGAATAAGGACTCTATGGCACTCTGGGAGAAATACAAGATTTTTTTTTTAGAAATGTATAATGTTTGTATTTAAATATTTGTAGGCGACTCTTACAATCCGTCCCTCTGAGGAATGGTATAATGTTCGTATTTCTTTATAACAAGGTGGTAAAATTTTTTTAGGCGACTCTTACAATCCGTCCCTCTGTGGCCTCTCCTAACAGTCCTCCAAACGTGATGACAGGAGACATGCAAGCGCAGTAGAGGAAGAGAAAAGACGCCACACACTGGAGGTTCAGGCCGTCCCTGAAGTCGCCCAGGTAGAACGGGACTTTCCTTTTGATGTCCAGTACAAGACCACCAAACAACCTGAGCACGAGATAAGAACAGACAGTCGGACTGTGAGGGGAGCAGAAACCTTCATTCAGATGATCACAGCTGTGGTTATGGCTCAGTGTTCTCTGCTCCAGGTTGATTGTAATTAACTCAACAATGGTTTTAATCATCCCTCGGCCTGCAGACGGATATACTCTGATCTGATTGGACTGCAGACGCCCCATGAGGCCTGTTGTCATCTTCATTTAGTTGATTACTGCACAGTGTGATCACAGTGTAGAATTATCCTGCAGTATTGTACCTTCATGTTCAGAGGCCACGAAGTTAGACGTCATTTAATTGCGTGGAGCAGTTGAAAGTGGAAAGTGTTTTTTTTTTTTTTTGCTGAATCACTCAGTTCATGGTACCAGGACCAGGTGAATGAGAATCTACACCGAGTGTGTAAGTGTGAGAGCCCAGGAGTGTTTGCTCATGAAGTTTTGTTTCAGCTCGAGCTTCCACGACATAAAAGACATTTTCCTTTTTCTTTAACCCTATATTTGTTCGTTTTTTTTAAACCCTCTGTCCTTCATCACAGAAAATATCCATTTGTCAAAATAAAACAAATTGTGTCTTGGTTTTGACCCAGTGGTAAAACTGCTCCGGCTCAATTCCTATTAACTGTGTTGAGAAAATTAATCTGTGAACTACAGAAGGATGTTAAAGAAATGTACATTGAAAAACACCCAAAATCAATTTCCCTGAAAGATAAAGATTTATCACCAAATAACAAATTAGTTTTTACTGCATGGTTTTAAATTTTTACCAACCGATTTGTTTGAGTAACCCCCCCCCCCACCATCCACCCAGCCATTATCCATGGGCCAATTGGTGTAGTGAGTTTTACATCCCCACACATTTCCCAGCAGCCCAGCAGCCCTTCAACCTGAGCCAGGATGTAATTAGCCGGAATATCATAAATCCTGCACACGACTAAAGATGTGTGGAGTCTTTAAACGGTAACTGGACACCGGCGTGAAATACTTTCACTGCCTGATGTTTTCCACATGCTTCGACCAGAGGCGAGTACTTTTCAACATCGTTTTAACAAGATGCAATAACGCAGTGATGGAAATTCTTTTTTAATATATATATTTTTAAAACATTAGCTTTTTGTAAAACACACTGTACAAACATGTACTACAGTAAAGTACTACATGTACTATACCGATTGACACAAGTTGTTTCAGTTCGTATTTGTGGTTTTTTTTTGTTATTTATTTGTCTGAGCTGTCGACAAGACAGTTTGAATTTTTAGCAGTATCAGTCGGCAAAGGAAGTATCAGACGGCACCATAGTTTTCATGTAGAAGGTTAAAGATAAAGATTTGTTTTAAATTAAAAAAAATTAAATTAAATTAAATTGATTTTGTCATTTACAAAGTGTTCCAGAGAGTACATGCTGTCCTGTCCATTAGCAATGATGCTACCGTCTGTATATTCTCTGTTTTGTATGGTACTGTATGCACCATCTCACTCTAACCTTAGAACAGGCCTTTCAGATGCATATTTGGCGCCTCCTGAAGAGCAAGATGGGAACTACATGCTCGATGTTGAAACAATAACCACCCAAAATTGTAGTATTTCAAACTAAAACATTCATCTTGTGTTTTTACATTTTCTTCGGCCTTGATGTTTACCCTGTGTTTGTGTTCATGACCTGCAGCTTCACAACAACGTCTTTACCTGCCAGTTCTCTGCAGTTCTGGCCCGTGGTGCTCAGCGTGGAGCTCCTCCTCTACTTGACAGGCTGTTCCGTTGGGGACTCCCGGCTGTTTTCTTTTCTCCTGTACACACCCAGAGTGAAGTCAGCAAACTCACATACAGTATATCAACCAACTGAAATACTGAAATAAATAGATGTTCTTCATGTCATTAAAGCTTTGAACCTGAGAGGGGACGTTCTTGGGCGGTTCGATGCGGATGGAGGGATCCCACTCCCCTGGTGGCAGGACGGTCACTTGGTCAAGGAATTCATCTATCCCTGCCAGGAGGTCGCTTCTGTCCTTGGCCTTATACGCCACATCATGAAAGATCTGGAGCAGAGGTCGGTGAGGAGGAGAGTAAAAACTAAAGAACTGAAAAATGTTGATGATGAATCTGCAGCGAGCATCAAAGATCCCCGGGTCAGAACTTTTACCTCATCTGTCATAATGGTCGCCATTGATCGGCCAATTTCATGATACTGCTGGGCTTTTCCATCCGGGCCCAACAGAATGAAGAGGAACCTGGTGGCAGGAAATGGTAATACTGATAATAATGTCATTCTCAAATGTGTAATTTCAGAAGATTCATGATTTGATATCAAGACATAATGTCATCATTTACACTGTGAATCACAGACTTAAAAAACCTGAGCACAACAATGACAAATATCACAACAACAGTTTTGATGAATTAAACATATTACTGTCCTGTGGTGGTAAAATTTTACAGCTTAAAAAACTGTATAATAAAAAAAACGAGAGTTAATTTGACCACAGCTGTTTACCTGGTAGGAATTGGCACCTCCGTGAGGCCAGTGAGCAGAACAGCAGGAGAAAGGCGGACAAATGCCACGATAGGTCGCTCCAGGAAGTCCAGCTCTCCCACCAACACGTTGGAGGCCTCGGCACCTTCTGGAATTTTCTTCATGAAATGAAGGTCCACCTGATGAGACGACACAAATGAAAAGCTTGTCTGTGGTTTCCTAGGGGGCAGTATACAGATGTTAACACTGCAGCTGCTCCCCTGACGGTACATTTGTACATTTATTCACTCCAAATATTTGGTCCTTGCGTGACTGTGGAACAGTGACTGCTAGAACAATTAAATGATCTTCCACTAGGTGGCAGCAGATAGCTATAAAAAGGAGCCGTTGAAGGAGATCGATGTGTGTGTCTTTCTTCAATTCCTGTAAGTTTCAATTAAATTGTGAGTAAATAAAAACACAGATCATTATATTTCTTTATATTTACTTTTTGTGGCATTTTGTTTGGTGGTGAAACATGGGATTTTTCTCAAGTAAAATATTTGCTTTGGATCAAAATAGGTTTAGAAACACTGATGTAGAAGGTTTGTTAAAAATATATCCTCCATAGGAAAACTAAAAAAGGGCTGATTCACGATAAATGAAAACTTTATCTTTGTAATATTGGAAATGTTCACTTATTAATAACGTCAGTTGGATACGTTTAAAAATCTGATTGGTCAGTGCAGATCGTGTCAGGTTACCTTGCTCAGGTCGACCTGAGTGCTGTCCTGTCCACCGTTCTTGGACGGTTCTGTGGACAGAGGAGGCTGTGGAGACGTGGCTGTGACAACAGAGGCACAAAAGACAACAACAGCTTATCTTCATGTTGCATTAAACTTGTAGTGATATTCTGAGCATGGCTCGTTACTGAGTCACCCACCAGTCAGATGAGGCTCGGACTGTTTGCGAGTTCCCTCGGTGATGGAGCGGACCATTGGGATGAGGTTCTTCTTCTTTTCGTTCTGGTGGTGGTGTCTCTTCAGCAGAGCCTCACGCACCTTTACTCTCACACTGTCATCCAGCTCATGAGACGCCTCCTGGTGGTCTAGCACCATGTCTGCAGCCCAGACAGAAAGAGCAAATACTTAACCACATTGTTCAATAGTCACAAAAGAACAATTTCTGTTTGGATTTCCAAATAACGGTAGAGAGTTGGTCCAATAAAAAAGATTAGGTTGTGCAATAAAATAAAGCTGATAAAATACATTGGATTTATTTTAAACATCTGACTCTACTGTCTCTCTATGATGGTCACCAGTTGGTGTACAGGTGCTGCTGGCAGTGATAACATGGAAAAGAAGACGGGAGACAAGTGTCAGTGTCTCTCTCGCTCTCTCTCTCTCTCTCTCTCTCGCCCCCTCCCCCATTTCTCCTTAATTTCTAGGACTGTGTCCATTTTAATATTCATGAACATTCTGCAGGAGGACAGAGGATTTCTCCTTCATTTCTAGGACTGTGTCCATTTTAATACTCATGAACATTCTGCAGGAGGACAGAGGTCATCAGGTCAAACACACAAACAGGTGTGAAGTTAATTAAGCTTTTATACAAACGAGTCCAAGCTGCTCTGGTATTGGTGTCTCTTTGTAGACATTAAAGAGTTTTTCCATAATGAATTATCTGGGAGTCACTACGTATGTTTCACTGTGCGTCTGTTGGTGTTTCGCCTGCGGCCTGTGCTGCTGATAAACAGATCTGTACAAGACAGTCTACAGACACACAAATTCAATCTTTTACTCCAACACAGCAGCAGGACTCGACTTTGGAGAGAACAACATTTGGAAGCAAAAAAAAAAACATCAACCATGAGTTCTTAACGCTCTTTGTCTTCAGCAAACAATTTCATATAAAAAAATCTGAACTAAATATAGACCACACCCCTAATTACTCATTTTCACGCTCTCTGTTTGTTTTTTTTAGGTGAATTACGGTAATAACAACATTACACTGTACGTCCTGGGTTCATGTTCCAGTGGTTAAATGAACTGTGATTCTAACCTGCGATCTCCTCAATGCTGTCAGCGTGCATGTCCAGCAGCACGCTGCCGTTGATGATGCAGCTGCGCAGCTCAAACAGGCTGTGGAGCGACAGAGTGGCAACGTAGGGTTTGCTCCATCTCTCACCGCCGTCCTCCACATCTTCTTCAAACTTCAGCCACCTGCACAACAACCACACAAGTGTTTGTCAATCTGTCGTTCATCTCCACAACTTCAGATTGTGATCGCTCCGTATCTGGAAAGATATTTATTCTCCTACACATCACTGGTGATTCTTCAGACTGGGATAATTGAATTTATTAAATACGGTCAAGGTCAAAGTGATTTAATTTCTCGTTTCTGTGTACAGAATATTACAAAAATATTCCAGTGGCACTGGGCAAAAATAACTATGATTTGAGAGAAATTCTGTGGCTTAGAGGTTAATGAAACAAGTGTGATAATGGGTGGTTGCTGGTTTGATTCCCAGGTCTGTGTCCTCAGGATCACTGACTCCCACTGACCTGGCTGTTTCCTTCCACTCAGCATCCTTCCCGTCCTTCACACAGATCTCGTCCAGCTCAGTGAAGAGCTCGTGGGCCACATGTTCAGCATCTTCCTCTGAGCCCAGAATGAACTGGACCCTCTGGGAGGGCGTGTCTGCGTGAGTAGAGAAGTGTTGTTCTGAAAATGGTTACACAAACACAGTCTTCCTGCCTGTGGTCATGTGACCACGTCACATGGTATCAGAGGACACCAGGACAAAATATGCACTTTTCTAACCTGATGTTTACAACATTTGATAAAACTCTTCCTGAAAAGGCAGAAAAATCTCTGAATCTGTTCACCTCCAAACAAATCCGTAAAGATTTGAACAAGTGACTTTGTAGGAGGATCAGCAACTGGTTGGAAAAGTAAGGTAGAAAAGGAGCATCCACCAATGGGTTCAGTCTTTTTGATGAAGAAAAAGAAAAACTGACAAATCACTGTTTATTCAAAAAGGTTCATGAGTCAAAAGTGGTGAAAACCACTGCTGGATACATGACGTCCTGGCCCAAAGGCACTAAGGCATTAGAAACACAGACACTGCCATTTGACAGTGATGAACTAAGTGCCATGGTCTTGGCACAATCTTAGGAAATTACGTTGGGTTCACATAGTTATATTATACAAATGGAAAAATAAACGTGTTTAAAAAGGTTTATGATTTTTAGCAACTTTTTTTAAGCTTGTTTTCATGTTGGTTTTAGTTTTGAAGTCGTGCCATAGAAATATGTAACAAATCCGTCCTACATTTTCACAACATCAAAGAGTGTGTCTACAACAAAGGGGGACGTGACCCAATGCTATTCTTACCTTGTTTTGATAATGAGTCTATTATTAGATTAGATTTGATTTTCAAAGCAGTTTTTAGTTTAATTTATAATGAATCTGTTCAGAGACAGTATTTTATTTTCATTGTCCTAATAAAAAAAAAGTTTTTATTTAAGCTTCTATCACCTTTTCACAGAAAGTACCAACTTTTGTGGAACTGCAGTCTCTCCCTCTCTCTCTCTCTCTCTCACTCACATACTGACTCAAACACGCGACAGGCTGACGGGTTCCTCTCTTTGGTGGCTAATTAGTCTAATGCGTCAATGTTAGCCTGGAGCGCTGCCCTCCTGACTTCATGGAGTGCATCAGTATTGACGGACTCCGTTCGACCAACACTGCCTCCTACTGTATGCGGGAGACGGACGTGCAAATAAACATGTTTGGCCGTCACTGAGCTGAGGCCGGAATTTTCTTTCAACTCCGTCCATGACTAATAAATCCTGTGACTGTGTTAGACTTAAATATTACAAATATTTTATCAGAAAACAGAATGAAAGGCCGAACCAGGACGGGCTTCAAACAGCCATTGTTCCTGTTCCACTTTGTCTGTTTACATGTGTTACCATGAGTGAGGGGCGTCGTCTCAGGGCCCTCGCTGTGCTGAGCTGAGCTGCTTCCTGTTCTCCTCTCCTTCTTGCGGTGACGGGAACCGTGAGGCCTGTGGTGGCGATGGCTCTGCCTCGGCATCCGGACCCCGACGAACAGAGTCCTGTGGCCTGGGGAGAGAAGAGAGACAGTTGGTGGGCTATAGAAATGCACTTTTTAAAAAATTATAACTGCAAAAAAAAAGAAGAAATTATTGGATTTAACATTTCCCTGAATATTATTTTGCCTCTTCCGTAAAAAATATGACTTACTGTGAAGCCGTTTTGAACTAAATGTTGCTGTAATTTACTTTTCTATAGTCACAGTAAATTATGCAAACAAAACTAAATTCAAATGAATAATTAATTAATAGAGAATGTACTCAGCACTGTTAAGTACCACAAGATAAGTTGTCCAAATGATTTTTTTAAGGTTTTATTTGTACAATTTAGTCAGAAAATATTTGATCTTTTTCATCTTTAAGCCTTTCTAAGATAACAAAACACCAATTCAGTTTTTAAACTACACAAGAAAATGAGAGCAATCAGAAAACCCAGGCGACCAATTTGCACATCAGGTATCTTCTTCCTGTAGAGCTAACATGCTATCATAGCACGCTAAGCTCCTCTTATTTACCTCGTATTTCTGAGGAAATTAGAGCTGGAGAAGCAGTGATTGCTTCAAACTAAATTGATTTTTTTTGCTGTCATGCAGGTACAGGAGCGGTGAGTCCAGAGCTTGGATCCTGGCTCTTACTCACCTTCTAGTTCCTCCTTCTCATAGTGGATGTTCATGACCGAGCTGGTTCCTCCCTGGTCAACCACTGCCTCTTCATCCGGCCTCTGATGATCACACAAGACACAGAAGTTGACAGGTGAAGAGAATGTTGTTCCTGTCTACACACATCCTTGTGACTGAAGTTCACTTTTTACTTCAACGCCCTTTGAGATGAGACACTGCTGCTCGATGAAAGGTCAGGTTCGGAGTTACTGAAAGGTCACTATATCCTGGGGCGTCATGTTAGTGAATATTAGAGCAGTTTAACAGAACACATGAGGAGCCAATCTGTCCAGAGCAAGTATAAAAAAAGGAGTGTACAGCTCCATAAGAAGTCAGGCGCTGAGGGCTGTAGCAGAAATCTCTAATCTTTTTTGGTCTTTACTGTTCGGCCGGTAAAGTACATTTTTCCACTGTGTCCCAATTGCTGCCCTGTACCATACGACTTACGGACCAGCACCGGTCCCCGGACCAGGGGTTGAGGACCCCTGGTCTATAGTAACACATCCAAGTGGACAATCACTGGTCCTTATGTCAAAACAAGTTATTTGTTCTTGTATAAAGTCTTGTTCTAATGGTGTGCCCTCGGTGCTACAGAACACAGACCATCTGGACTACAGCCCAGATTGATCTGTGGCCCAGATGGCGTCGGCTTCACTTTGAATCTGCGTAGAAGAGCATTTCTATAACTTTTAGATCCGGAAAAGCCTCATTGTTATGGATATCAGATAATATCAGCTGACAAATATTATCGGCCCGATAACGATTCTTACAGATGTTATATAATTATGCTATAATTATGCTATAATTATATAACACCCATAACGATTCCTACAGATGTTATATAATTATGCTATAATTATATAACATCTGTAAGAATCATTATCAGTATAATTATGTTATATACAACATGCTATAATTATGCTATAATTATATAACATCTGTAAGAATCATTATCAGTTTTTCCTCCGATAATGGAAACCCGATAACGCAATGCCTGGGTTCCGCCAAATATATCGGCAAAAAAGTTAATATCGGACATTCCTACTTATATGTAGCTACAGTTGTGAACCCATTCATAATCACAGTGGTAGAAAACACACACACTCCAGTCTATGATGTGACTCATGGGTAATGTATACTGTGCAGTTCATCATCATCTATGAAAACAAAAGCTTAACTCTGTAAATATATTTAAATAATAAAGCTGTTTTGCCAATAGCAACATACAGGGATCTTTGAACACACTCTCTCTCTCTCTCACACACACACACACTTATATACAGAATGTTCTGTTTTATGTTTTTAAATCAATGTGTGAGGGTGGTGAACACACACCCACTCTCTTACAAACAACACTGTGGAATAAATAAATCCTGGTGAGGAGACGTGTGGCATTCAGCAGCAGCACAAACTAAAATGTGAGACATGGACAGCTCGACATCCTCGGCTGAGCTTCACCTCCCTCTGCGTTAACAACTCCTTTCATTATCACTCCTCACCACCGGTGCCGGGGGACTTCCCTGTTTTCATGACCTTGCAAATGTTATTCCCAAGGCCTTGATCGCCGTAAAGAGAAGCTTCCCTTCACTGGGAGTTTGTGCTTAAGACAGTCCCTGGAAAAGACTTGAGGTTTTTTTTCTAATTATGAATATAGAGAAAGGCACCGAGAGCTGTTTAGATATATAAAATAATGCCATCTTCTACATCTGTATCTAGTCCAAAATACACAAGGTATGATCTAGACTCAGTCGTAGGTGTAGTTAATAATTACTTTATTATTCTGTGCCGCACGTGTCACGACTCAAGGTAGGCTTTCATTAGTCCAATCATAACATAATCACCTATAAATAGCAAAAAGTCCATCTTCATATTTACTTAAATATAATTTTATATTTACTTCATATTTACTTAAATATAATTTTACAAAACATTTCCTGCACATGAAGTGTTTGTGTATTTAGTCTTTTTTCATTTTCAAAATTAATCAAGTGGGCCGGATTGAAACCTCAAGCGGGCCAGTTTTGGCCCACGGGCCGTATGTTTGACACCCCTGCTGTAATCAGTCACCGCAGCTGGAGGTCTGCCATGCAGCATGTGGCTTTAAGCTGACGCTGGAGGCGGTTGGTTCGTCTTATCTGCAGCAAACCACACACACACACACACTCAAAGAGAGAGACTGGAAGAGAGACAGAGGGACACTCTAAAAGGTCTTTGTTCCTCAATCTCTGTCCATGGTTGTTACATCACCGGATGAGTTGTGTATTTTCGATGCGGAGAAAAGAGCAGGAGCAGAGTGAGGGGAGAAAATAAAGGTCACATGTTGTTCCTGACAGAACACACACCTCCTCCTGAGCCCCAGACCTTTAGAACACGGCGTGACCCGGAGGAAGGAGTGATTACCATGGACCGGGGGTGAATGGGTTCTAATGACATCTTAATGCAGCTCTGTTGTTCCTCCAGCAGGTTAATGGTTCCCTGTCATTCAAACTCACCTCTCTGGTGTTGACTTAAGTGCCACGGCTAAATATAAAAAAAACAAACCTCACATGGCGCCTTTTCGTTTGCTCGCTCTCGCCCTCTCTGTTCTGACCCTGAACATGTGATGGTTTTTCCACTGACGGAGCAGATCATTTGTACTGAGCTGCATACGTCCATATCCTGGCAACCGTCCTTCTTTCTCTTCACTTATCCTCTACCTTCCTCTCGTCAAAGTGCTCGGGTGGGTTTATGAGTCATGAATAATTTTTCCACACAGATTACTGCCTCTGTAGAAGCATTCTTCCACTACCACTACCAAAATGGCTGCCTGTCCTTGAGGTTTTGTCCTTCACTGTTAATGTCGCGGCTGCTGTTTCTGAAAACCTCACTGTGATGTGGCCCAACGTTGAAATTCAAAAGACTTAAAAGATTATTTCAGGATATTTGTTTGTCTCCCACCATTTCCTTTTGTCACATGTGGAGACAAACAACTGTTCACGCTCACATTCACACCTATGGTCAATTTAGAGTGAACAGTGAATCTAATCCTAATCATTTATTAGGGATCAATGATTAGGATTAGATTCACCCTCCCCGACCTTTTTCACACCAAGTACCAGTCGGCATCAGCCGTTACTGTGGACCAGAAAACAATCACCATCGAATCATTACATTTTCAAAATAAAACCTCTTATAGACTTTCTCCTGTTTGTATCAGAGTCTGAATGACCTTTGACCTGTTGGTTTGAAACATTGACAGATTATCTTTGAATGAAAAAAGTACAGGGCTATAACTGGATTATTTTAGAATGAAGTAAATTAGTAAAACATGTACTTCACGTTTTCACTGTGTCCCACTCTGGCCCCGTCCCAAATGACCTATGGACCAGCACTGTTCCCCGGACCAGAGGTTGGGGACCCCTGATTTAACCAAACATACAGTATTTCCATTTTAGAAACTGTAATCTGTGAACTGAGCCGTTCCTGAACATAAATATCTGTTAGTTAAGATTAGAGCTTGGTAAAAGTTGGATTAAACATTTTTTTCAAACTCCCATTAGTCATTCAGTTAGCAGCTTAACTGGTAAGGCTTATCACCAACGGCTGAGTCTCTGCAGGACAGAGAATGGCTTTGTGCTAAATCTCTCTAAAACTTTCTTTAAATCCAGGTCTGTATAAAATGAGTTGAAGTGATGAATGTATTTTAATTAGAGCTCAAACCAGGTTAATGTTAAAGGTGAAGGTTGATAAGAATGTAGTTTGACAACAACTGCACAGAGAACTCCATCATCATCTTCCCTTTCACTCACTTTGCTTTTTTCTTCTTCTTGCATATTAAAGACATCCTCGTCTCCGTGTCCATGTCCCCGCATGAATACAAAGCCAAAAATAGAGGCTATCACTCGCCCACGTCTGATAACTAAACAGACACAAGATGCATTCGCTGCCAGGCCAGAATGTCTCATGAAGATGTTCTATTCCCAGAGCAGAAGTGAGACAAAAAAACGCTCTAATTTAATAGGAGGATATATCACTAACGCTGACTGAAATCAGTCTGTTTCAATTCAGAAAATGACCAACAAGTAACACTGTATGATTTACTGCAGGCTCTGCTTTCTGCTGAGTGGCTCCAAAGCCCCGCAGCTCCATCGACGAGAGTTATGTTGGTAAAAGGAGACTGAGCTGTTGTGTAGTTTTCATTTTCTCAGGGATAAAACATTTAACACCTTCAATCGTCAACATTGTGCTTTACAGTAAAAAATAAAAAACAACAAAAAAACTGCAACATCGAACCAAACATCGTGCCGAACAAATAGAGCAGCAACGATTCAAATCCATGAATCCTGACTGTGGGTCAGTCAATACTTACAGCAGCATTAACCTCCATCAGGACAGAGTGAGACCAGAACTAAACCAGCTGATGATCGGAGGCAGAACCCTCTCTCATCTCTCACTTCTTTATTGTTCTAAACCAAACATCGTTTCTCTCCAGGTAATTCACTTTTGTCCCTCGGCCGTCTCCTCGTCTCTACGTATTCTCCTGTCCTCAGTTTTCCCAGAAGCACCCTCAGTTGACAGCAACAACGCAATTCTTGACTCAGACAACTGGGTCTGTCACCTCCAGACCGCCTGTCAACCAGAGCTGACCACAGCCTCGGGCCAGAGCCGCCGTGACGGATCAGACACGGGGGAAGAGTACAAAAAAACCCTGAGACACAGAGGATGACGGAGAGATTTGTTATGGCTGCTCCAGCCCACAGGTGGCATGAGTCACACACACCTTATTCAACACTACACATTATTCCGCCTCTGCACGGCCGTCACTGACACCGTCCTGTCAGATCGTTGGTAAAAGATGACAGCGTACGCTTCAACACATTCGGTTATTTCCACATTACATTCATACAGGAGATAGTACTACAGCTGCCTGACCCTGACTATAAATACTGGCCAAAGGGGGGCGCTACAGATGTCTAGTTTCTTTGTCACTGAATGTGTTTAACCTTAATTGGAAAGTTTTTCTGGAGGAAAAAAAATGAATAAAAACTACATGAAAATATGACACAACAAC